ATGGGTCAGGTTCTGTGGTGATTTGCATCATTTGAAAATGTATGTATTTATGCAATATGTCACTTGCATAATTGTAAATTTATATTTGTATAAGATGTATCACTAGTATAATGAGCTCATTACATAAATCATGTTACTTATGTCATGTGGATCACTGCAGTAACATGTTCTTCAATTTACCACACCCCGGGAATGATCAAACTCCTTTCTGTAACTAATATATTAAAATTAGGCTTCGCTGCATTTAGGTGTCTGCAGCATCTATTTTGCTGTACTATTGATTAATCAGTTTATTAGATTAAAGAAATAGCAATAAAGACTTTTGCAGTATGTTAAGACTAACATATTAGCTTTTGTGCCCCATAGCCTACTTTGGGAGATAAGGTGGGAAAGAGGAAACAATTAAGGCAGAATGAAATGTAATGCAGAAGATACAAACAGAATTATTTTCTGGAGCTGCTCATTCATGTTTAGGTACAGGGCAGATATTTTTGCACTGGAGAACTTAATACATACCGTGCAGAGGTTGGCTGCACATACGTTAACAACCGGCTAGCTGGAAATGTGAGCGTGCACATTCTCTTCGCTTGCACGGACAGCTTCCTTGTTCTTGCGCGGCTTCAAACACACATCATATCTTCTCAGGCAGCCACAGTGAATACAGTAGGTGAGACGTGGCATTCAGCTGGGCTTCCTGGGCAGGGAACAAAACCAGAGTGTGAGATAAATAGGACAGGCTGGCCTGGGGCGGGTGGTTGGAACTATCGGTTCATCCGAACTGGAAGCTGCCCACCTCTATGGAGATTTTCAACAGTCCAGGTCATGACTGTCCCAAAGGTGCTTTCTTTCAAAAGGCAACTGTCTTCCTTGTTTCACTAGAAGACATTTTGCTTTTCATCCAAGAAACTTCTTCAGTTCTGGCTGAATGGTGGAGAATGGAAGGATTGATATTCCTTGGAAGGATTGATATTCCTTGAAGTCATGTGGTCCTTAGCACTCTTTGTGAAAGTCGTTGAGGCCACGTGGATGTTTATCTGTGCCCTCAGGGTCACCTGCATTCTGTAGTCTGCATTTATTTCTGGGAATCCATATACATATGGATACATATCATACTATAATATATATCATGTGACCCGCCCCCCATTACTTGTATAAGGATTATTCTTTATACTATTCATGTTGTCTTGTATTTTCTGTTAAGAAGTTTGTATTGCTCCCATTTGCTTCCTTGAGCCCTGGTGATGCAGTGTGTAATGGCTCTCTCCTAACTTAAGAAAGTAAAGACTCTTGAAACAGATTATTTCAAAAGGAACCTTTAATCAAGCAGGATGGAAANATTACAACTTTTCAAAATTCAGTGCCTAGGGGTTTTGCATCCCCTAATATTTGCAATCAAATATTTGCCCATTTCTAAAGATACACATCTTTCTGGTGTTTCTGAAAAAATAATAATGAAGTTCCAGGTATCTGCAGCAAGTATTAACTGGTGAAGAACTATGAAAAGACCCTCTACAAATCAGTAACCTTTAGGATAACAGTATATTTATAAAGACTACAGATTGTTTTATTGGGGTTGTTAAATATGTTGCTGTTTTCCCCCAGTATATTTTATGTAAGGGTTTGAAAAAATTAAGCAATTTTATTAACGTGTTGTGCCAGGATTAGTGACATATTAATGATCCTCCAGCTACCATTTCCAATACATGTTTATATTGGATACATTTCTCCATCTAGGAGGTATATAGAAACATATACAGCCAGCCAATACCTAAGCAATTCATTTAATGTGACATCCTTGGAAATGTACCATAACACCCCTATTAAAATATACATGGATCAGGTGAATGTAGAGGTAGCAAACCTATATTCAGGTAGTTTTTGGCCTACAATCATTTGGTGACCATTTGAAGCTACAACAGCAGTGAAAAAACTGACTTATCATTTTTCACACTTACAACCATTAAAGCATCCTTATGTTCAAATGATTAAAATTTGGATATTTGGCAGCTGACATATATTTATGTTGGTTGCAGTGTCCTGGAGTATGAGGCACAGTGGCTCAGTGGCTTAATGGTTTCTGTTCCAGTTGTTCGAGTCCTAGCACTGCATAGCAGGATGAGCTCCTGTCATTCACCTCAACTTTTGCCCACCTACCAATTTGAAAGCATGTTCTATGCAAGTAGATAGATAGGTAACAGTTTAGTGGGAAGATGAGCTGGTGCTCTGTGCAGTCAATCAGGTCCCTGACAGCTCTGAACCTTCCTGGTCGCGGCACCAGAGGTGGGTTCCTACCAGTTCGCACCGGTTCGGTAGAACCAGTTCATCAAATCTACCAAACTGGTTAGAAGAGGTTCTACCAGTGAACCCGGAAAGCAGGCCACACCTACAGAAGAGGTTCCAAAAATTTTTGAAACCCACCACTGTGCGGCACCCACTTGTGAGGTGGGTGCCACGGGTGGGGGGAAAGCGAGCAAGCCTTGGGTGATGCTGCCTCTCTTTCTCTGGTGCAAAGCCAGCTTGCCCTCCTGTGGAATATCTTGGAAAACACACAAGCGTCTCTAACAGGACTCTGCAATTGCATTGTGGTCTCCTGGCTACTTTAACAACAACAATAATAATCACTATTGTGGAAAAGAAAAAAGTCTGATTCAATGATATTGCAATGCCAAGTGATGCACGAATTGAAGAGAAACAACTAGAAAAAAAACCCCTTCTGACAGGTGAAGCATATGGGGAAGCAAGAATCATTTAACAACCATGTTACTGACTTAACAGTTCCAGTGATTCACTTAACAACTATGGCAAGAAAGTATAGGGAGCCCCCATCCCCAAAAGGAAAATCAGTTTGGGGAGCAGTTTCCCCCAAATAGAAAGAAGGCTCCCCTGAAATAAAGGTCCACTCACATCGTCTCACAAAGAGGGAGATTGCCCGAAGCAGTGTGTCGCAATAAGCTAAGTGCCTATGAATGAGATACATTTGTATCCATTCACAAAGGTAGAATGCTCCTTTGTGAATGGATATTCAGAATCCAGACACCTCCATTCATAAGCAAAGTGCTGCCGGCTACAGCTTTTGCAAGGAGCCAAAACTGAGCAGATTAAAGATATGAAAACAATGACACTTCAGTTTACAGTCTCCCAACAATAATTAGAATACTAAAAGGACACCCTCAAGCACAGGTTAAAGTACATACAAAGGTCCTGGGAATCTAAATCACAAAGCCCTAGAACCACATAAAAACCCATCCACTCACCAGGCTGTTTTGTCAGCTGCCCTAGAACCTGTTATTGCTGAAGTCGCTTCTAACCACTAATAAAGAAAACCTTCTTTTCAACCAGCTGGCTTCTCTCTTCATTTGGTGGCACCCTTGTTTCTTCCAGCTGGAGACCCAAACCAATTCTTCCTACAAAAGGTCATAAAATGGGGCAGAACTGGCTTAACTGTCTTGCTTAGCAATGGTAACTTGGGGGTCAATTGTGATTGTAAGTCGAAGATTACCTGTATACCAATCCAGTGGCTTGTCCATCTCATTGTCATGCCTCTAATATTCAAGAAGCTCCCTTATTCACTGAGGAAGGGCCACCAAGGTCTATGCAGTCTGAAAATGTAATCAAGACATGCCTAATGCCTCCTGAACAACCTGTATGTTTCAGATTGTCCATCATAGTCATCTCCTAATCCATTGCCATGTTGCTAATTGCTTTTATCTAAGGAATACCTCCTTATAAAAATCTTTGCTTTTCTCTTGGTGTAATATGTATGTGGCCTTATTCCTCATGAAGGCAGTGCAGGTCACCAACATAGTGTTAGGACCTTTACCATCTCTTTGAAGGGATTTATGTCCATTCCTCATCTCTGTCTCTCTTCCAGTCTGTCCTCGAGAGAAAAGCTTGTTCTATGAGAACCAGGAACTCATTGTATCAGGCACTCATGCTGATTTATGTCCAGCAGGGAGGATAGCACTGTGGTCATGTGATATTTCTTTTCATTGTTAAAGGCACATGAATTCTATCAGAAAAAAATAGCAGTAACTATAATGCTTTGCCTGACAGGANCGACACAAATTTCTTGCCCAAACTCCAAGACAGTCATTATTTATGGATGGCATGTTCTCACAACAGAGTTTCAATCTCCCTGTCAACTCACCACTCAAGCTGGTTGAAGCTGGATCAAGTTAGGATTAATGTTAGGAACATGGTATTTTCCATCCAAAAATGGAAGATTTCCTATGGAGACATTCAGTGTGACTTGTGAATAGTTTTTTTGTGGGGAGGGTTGTTGATCTGCTGAGCTCTAACTGATCTACAACACAACTTCCCCCTCCTATCTCCTTGGGGGGGGGAGCATGCTTCTGTAGCTATTTATGTCCAGTCCAGCCAGAAAAAAACTGACTCTTGCTGGCCTTTCCTTTTCTTTCTTGTGATTCAGTGATGGTGTCAGGTTGCAACTTATAACAGACATGCCAATGCTTTATGAGTTGATAGATGGATATTGACTTTTGGGAAGCAGGTATGCAAATATGCCAACAACAACAGATTAATGTGATGTGGATTCTTGGCCACAAAGGATGCAAATGAGTGATACCGAAAAATATATGAATATATCTCAGTCCCTTGGAAGACAGTGAGATTGGAGTGAAAATGACTGAAATAATTGCAAGGAAGGGATTAGAATTAAGGGATTCAAATTATTCAGTTCCAAAATATTGTATGGCTTTTTAACATCATCACAGTAAAGTATTCCTCAGCTCCCCCCTCCCCTGGTCGGTCAGATTGATATGTGTTGATCATTATTTTACTACATGTACTTTCTTTATATGGTTTTATATTACGTATGAATTTGTGTACTCTGATATAAAATTAATAAAGGAAAGAGTTTAGGTATATAAAGATAGTTTAGTCCTAAAATTCAATTATCACTGGTATTTTCTTATATTTATCACATTTACAGAGATACAATAGACTTTCAAGATAACCAGATAACTTTTTTACCATTACAGGAGAAATTTGAGAGCTTGTTCCGTGCTTATGATGACTGTGTGACATTTCAACTGTTTAAAAGTTTTCGACGCATAAAAATTGACTTCAATAACCCCAAATCAGCTGCTAATGCTAGAACAGAACTTCACGAAACACAGTTCCAAGGGAAGGAACTAAAACTTTACTTTGCAAAGGTAAGGTTCTTTTTTATCCAAGCATTTTCTTCGCCCAGATGCAGAGGAGGTAATTTAAGATTTGAGCATATTAATGTCAGACAAAAGACCAGAAATAATCATAATAATACGTGTAAGGGTAAAGTGCACAAAATATTAATCAATCAGAATAGAGCTGAAAGGGATCTTGGAGGTCTTCTAGCCCAGCTCTTGCTCAAGCAGGAGACCCTATACAATTTGAGACAAGTAGCTGTCCAGTCCATTCTTAAAAACTTCCAGTGATGAAGCACCCACAACTTCTGAAGGCAAGTGTTCCAATGGTTAATTATTCTCACTGCTGTCTCACCTTAATTCCATGTTGCTTTTCTCCTTGGCTAGTTTCCATCCATTGTTTCTTTTCTTGCCTCTGGTGTTTTGGAAAAGAAATTGACCCACTCTTCTTCATGGCAGCCCCTCAAATCTTGGAATACTGGAAAGTTAACTTTAGTCTGAGAGTTAGTTTGATTGAGTGGCTAAGATACCAGGCAAGGCTAGAAACAGGGAGACTGTGAGTTCTAGACAGCCAGTGGGTAAACTTGGGACAGTTACTTTCTCTCAGCCCTAGGAAAGAGGCAATGACAATGGCAAACCACTCCTGGAAAACCTTGCCAAGAAAAGTTTAGGGACTAATCTGGAATTGAACATGATTGCATGGGAGAAAAAGAAAACTTCTGTCTTTGCTTTGCCCCATGATAATCAAAGCCAAAAGAGCAGCCACCTGCTAATCTGAACTAAAAGGTAAAAATGTTTTGCTACCTTTTGATTTCGATTTTCGGTTTTATTGTATTTCTATGCCGCCCTATTCCCAGAGGGACTCAGGGTGGCTCACAAACCAAGTCAAGGCGGGGGGGGGGGGAATAAACAGGGAAAAAAAGAAAGACAACGGACAACACAACACCACAATTTTAAAAACAATTAACAGCTACACTACCTTTGTCATGCTATGATCTATATTTTATTTATGGTATTACTTAAAATAGTTTCATCTTGTCATATTGCAGGACCAACCAAATTTACATAGAGACAACATGAATTAATGTAGCTGATGATGAAGTATCTCTTTTACTATTTCTAAATACGATAAATAAATGACTAAGATGCATGGGTTGGAACTTCATTGTTCTCAAGCTCCAGGCTAGTGTACTGTCCCACTTTCCTTACGTATATACAGTGTGAAATTATGGGGAACATTTTTAATAGAATAACAGAACAAGGGAGTTGGAAGGGAACTTGGAGGTCTTGTAGTCCAAATACCATGCTCAAGCAGGAAACCCTATAGCATTTCAGGGTTTTCATATGTTCTTAAAAATCTCCAGTGTTGCAGCATTTACAACTTCTGAAGGCAAGCCGTTCCACTTATTAATTGTTCAGGAAATTTC